TTTTATGATTTTGTGATAATAAATAGATTTAGACATTGATATAATACAACAGTTAATTCGATTTAATAAGGAAAAATACAATTTGTTATCTTATTTTTTTTATATTAGGCTTACTCTCATTATTTCTATTAATAATTATAACCTTATCACAGGGAAAGGGGTCCGAATATTGGATGCCTTAGAAAATTGGATTTCGAATATTTCAATACCTCATACACAGTTATGTTAGCTACAGAATAACCCAGTTATTATTAATATATAATTAGACTGCAAGTATATATTGACAGATAAAAAACAATCCAAATCGGTTTAGAACTGATGGATTTATGAAGTAACAAACTTAAAAATATACAATCGAATTGAGAACTTCCTTTTTTTGAAGCTGGTTGAAAAGTAAATGATTTATGTTGGGTGTTCAAAAGATAAAGTAAAATTTTCTTAAATATACAAAATAATATTAGATATTAATTTTGATGAGTTTTATAAATAAAACTTTTTAAAGTTTTATTATTATTTAATTATCTGTTTTCAGTCGAGTGCCTAATATCAGACATCGGGGAGAAAGGGATTGTTAGTAATGGGGTCTAACGAACCAATTGCTAGCAATTAACCTTATCAGGTCAACCTCCATGCGGTTCCCCCTGGAAAACATCGTGGTTAATTCTAGTGGAATACATCATGGTGGGCTAACTGACCCGCTTTCATCGTCACCTATCATCTCTCACTGGTGCCCCGCCAGCGTATACCGATAGCGCAGGCGGGGTTACCATTCCATTATCACCCATAAAAAAAAATATCAGACATTCTTGATTGACATATTATTTCATATCTGATATTAGAAGCCTTATTAAATTATATTTTGTATATAATTTACTACGGCTGTTGTCTAATTCGTTTATTTTTTGTATAGTATGAACTCGGAATCGGATGAATCGGAATTTTTTGCCTAATTTTCAAAAAACTATCTGATATTCGGGTTCCTTTCTCTACTTATTTTGAGCACTTATTAAATAATCAATTAGAAATATTGGAAAGAATCGATAATTCCGATGCATGATCCCATATAAAAACTTTTATTTAACTATTATTAAACAAAATTTATAGATTTTTTTTAAATAAAAGAGTACTAGTAGATAGTCGATAGTAGTAGACCTCATACTACTAATATTTTTTTCAATTATCAGAAAAATCTATTTTCTTTTTTGACCCTTTACAGTCGTTTATTTTCATAATAGCGACAATTTGTTGTTTTTTTTTTATTTACACGCAAAGAAAGACTTAGCACAGTGGAATATATTGTATCGCATTGCGGTGGCAAATGGGCAATTAGTTAGTCTAATTGTCGGCGGTTACTGTAGGCAGGATTGTCTCTTAAAATTTGTCTATAAAAAAAAAGTTTTTATAACGAGACTGTTATCAGTATTCGCTTTATTTGATGATAAGTGATTCAATCATTAATAGGTTATAAATGCTTGCAATACTAGAGGATTTCTTCTACATGAGGATATACATATACCATATAAGCAATTTTAAGTAAATCTTATAAATTTGTTGATCTTTGTTGTAGTTTTTTTTTCAAACAGTCGTGGTACAATACAGATGTTAAAATTGTTAAATTGTAATATCTGTATTGTTACTACTCTATTTAATATATATCTATATAAATAATAATTATATGGTTGAATATATTAATCTTCATCACATCATTTATTTATTTATTTAACTTTTTATTGCACCATAAATAAAATATACAATGACAAGTGAATAATTAAAGCGAAATACAATAACATTAATACAGATTGAAATATACACATAAAGGTACAAAAGGCGGTCTTATCGCTAGGGCAGTCTCTTACAGACAATCTTTGTCATTTAACATTATTTAACATTATATGAGCATAGCTTTTACCTGCGACTTCGAGTGACCGGGATATGTTTACGAACAGGGATAAAAATAGTTACATTTAGTACCTGTATACCAAATTTCATAGTGTAGTGTATAGAGTGGGTAGAGTTATATGTGCAGTAGTGTGTAGAGTTAAGCTGTTAATCGCCAAGAGGTAACAAACAAACAAACTTTTACATTTATTATATTAGTAAGATTTGTAGTCTAATTTTATTATAAAAAATGATAATAAAAATATCAAATCGAAATACAGTAGGGTGAGATAAAAGTATATTCTTTTTTGTCATGTATGTGTATTTGTATGTGTATGGTATGTATATATGTGTATATATATATATGTGTATATGTGTGTATGTATATATATATATATATATGTATATGTATGTATAAATATAATAATTTTGATACTTCACAATTTCAATCAGGCAAGCAGGCAGTAGGTCTCTGAAGCTTATAATTTAAGATTTTACTGTTCAATCAAGTTTTACAAACAAAAAACGTTACAAAATATTTCTTTGGTAGTGATAGATAGGGATTTCCAGAATCTCCATGTCTTAAAATAAAGTTTAAATGTATTAATGTATTAACGTTTCTAACGTATGAGATTCTGAATAAAATATATACCCTAATATGGAAATAACAAATAGAGACGTTAGTAAAATACAGAATATAAAAATAGACTTCTATGAAATTATTATTATTATTAGGTACTTATTTGTAAGTACGTACCTATAACCAAAGATTATATAAAAAATTGAGGAGTTTCATCTGGAAAATACTTTATTATTTTTCTATTTTATTCGTGTTACAAGTATAAAGATGTACATAGCTTTTATATTATATGGTATACAGAAAATTATTTTCGCCGCTGAATAACAATTTCTTGGTCTCTCTTAAGTTCGCGCCGAGTTTATGTGGGTTTTATGAAAATAAGCGGGTGCCCGCTCATTTCGGGTCGGGGTGGTTCGAGGAGTGGGTCGCGGGGTGGGTGTTTATGTAGTTTTCATGGCTCGAAGGACCACGCGGCTTCTGGCTCCAAGCCAGACGCTGCGAATGGTAGCTTCTCTTTTGTTTTGTGCGCTACGCCGGAATGTTATCTCGGTTCGTTTCTTCTACTCAGTTATAATTTGCAACGTAAATATGAGATATTTTGCTTTTAATTTATGAGTAAATGATCTAAGTTGGTTATTAAAATGTTGTTTTAAAAGGTAAACGCAAACGCTGTTAATGGCTGGTTTGAATGAGCTTAACTTTTACAAATGTTTATATAAAACCTTCTTAAACACCGAAATCATTGTTTGAATATGGATTTTAAGAAAAGGAAAGTACCTATATTGAGAGAATAACGTCTTTTGAGGCCTACCTCAAGTTACTATCTATAGTAAGAAACATTTGTATTTTAGATGTTTTTTGCTTTATTCAATAAATCCAAAGTTGAGAAAGTGAAATTGATATATTAATAATAATTTGGTGAATTAGTATAGTATTAATAGTATAGTTTTTACTAGCGATATCATCCCGAGGTATGTTTTTTTTTATACAACTTAAAATAGCAAACAAGCTGACGGCCCACCTGATGGAAAGTGGTAACCGTCGCCTATAGACATGAGCAGTACCATGGACATAACGGAGTATACTGTTTCGCCCATGATACCCCCATGCGTTACCACTCCTGAGGACTCAGGTGTTATTCCTCTGTACCCAGTCAATTTACTGCCATATCTCACCCTTTAAACCGAAACACAGCCATGCAAACACAATTGCTTCACGGTTGAAACACGAATGGGACAGAGGTACCCAAGCAATCGACTTTTGTACAAAGTCTCCCTCTGGTATGTTGATTGATCGAGATAAAGATTAGTCTCTTCATCGTCATAGTGTTTGATTGTGTATGGCAATATTTAATCTGACTGTAAAAAAAAAAACTTTCATATTTATAATAATAGTAAAGATTTCAATTTCCAAAAAGTAATTTCGTAAATCTGTATGCAAGGGTTGTGTCCGTGAAGGCACGCGGCACTCTCCCGGTGACGTGACGTGCCACAAATCAGCCACCACTGAAATAACTCTTGGCGATATCTCGTCGAATACCCGCCGCATTCCACTGTTCTCGCTTTGCTAGATGATCTTGAGACGTGTTTTGGATGACTGAGAAACGTTTTGTTGGGATTTATTCTCTACAATCTACTTGTATATAACTGTAACTTTTGGGGTATTTGAAAACGGATTATTCTAAACATTTAGTGTTAAATACACTATTGTATTGTATTATTATGTATGTATGCATGATAATCATGCAAATAAATTATTTTTATTCATTTATTTATATTTAGACTAGCTATTACCCGCGACTTTGTTCGAGTGACCGAGATATGTTTATTGACAGGTATAAAAAGTAGGTATAAAAATAATTTGTCCTGTGTCCTTCTTCATTCCATATAGTACTTGTATATCAAAATTTTATATTGATTAAGCCGTTAAGAGGTAACAAACAAATTTACTTGCATTTGTAATAGTAGGGATATTTTTTTTTAATGGGTGACAATGAAATGGTAGTCCTGCCTGTGCTATCGGTATACGTTGGCGGGGCACCAGTGAGAGACGATAGGTGACGATGAAAGCAGGTTAGTTAGCCCATCGTGACGAATTCCACTAGAATAAACTGTGATGGTAGGAAAATTATGGAGGTCTGATAGGGTGTATATACATTTTTATGTTAGGTAGAAATATATATAAATAAATTAACATTTATTGTTTAAAAATATATAAATAAATGTAATTATTTACTTTATATTTGAAACCACCGGTTAAATTTACATGTAATTAGATTGAGAAAGTTGGATTAGTTTCGAGATCAATTCAAGACCCTTAATCATGAGCGGTTGTGACTTGAGCACGTGTCAGGCTCGCTTTACCTATATTAAACGATATAAATAATGACTTTTATTGAAATATTTAAATAAAAGATTAGGCTACTTTCATCTATCGTCTTTCTATAAAGTACAATAAAACCGATTTATCTTAACGTCGTGTCATTTATGGGGTAGGCAGACATAACAATACCCATTAATTAATTTCAATCAAATGTTGACAGGTAAATCGTTCACACTAACGATAATGTTGGCGACATCCCCACCACAAGTGGCGACTTATCAGAAGGCGATCAAAGTGACTGTGGATGGGCCCAGGGAGCCTCGATCAAAGACACGCCATCATGGCTTCCATCCCTTCCACTTCGGGCCGAGGTTCGCGCCTGATCCTCTCATGGGGTCTCTACCTTTTAAATTATCAGGTAAGTGATTAAATTGATACAATATATATACATTATAATTAAAATATTTTTATATTATTATTTATGTGATACTAAATTTTTTTTTTTATATTATTACTAGCTATGACTGGCGGCACCAGTGAAACGTGAGAATTGAAATGCAGTTTTACCATATACATTATCCAGGGGGAACCTTAAGAACTGTCATGAAAATTTATACGTAATACAATTATTATATTGCCTCCATTACTAACAATCTGTCCCTCCCAACTACTACATATTAGGCATGGGTTAATATCGGTACCCCATATATTATTGCAGCATATAAAAATCGCGATCATAATAAATAGGAGTTGATTGTAAAACGGTGAAAATTTGAGGTTGTATGTATTTTTCATATGCTAAAAATCATAATAAAATATATAAATGGATAAATATGTATATATATATATATATATATATATATATATATATATATATATATATATATATATATATATATATATATATATATATATATATATATATGTATATATACCGATTCTCAGATTCTTACCCAATATGCAGTTTCAAAATTTCATTTTAAAAAAATCGTGTATGTGGTCATGAATCTCATAAAGTTAAAAATTCTAATCAATACATTTAATATTATCCTTTTCAAATAATATCCTTATCAATAAGATTTGATAACAAATAAATAATCCTTATTAACGTCTTAAAGAATGTAATGTATTCATCTCCAGGATTTTTAAGTATGATTAAATGCATTATATAATTCGGCAAAACAAAGATATACTAGAGATATATATATAATTGAAATTATTATTTGAATTAGAGGTTATATCAATTCTTCCGATAAATAAATATTAATAATTTAAATTTAATAAATATTAGTATCCTTTTAAGGGATATCGCTTTGGCATGCATGACTACATAATATAACAATCAATAATAATGTTAATTAATATACAATAATTACAATATATATATATAAATGTATATATACATATATATATATGATTAATTACATCACTAATTATCATATATTTAAATACTTTTTTTTGTAAATACGTATATATTATATATAAAGAAAATTGTTTAATATCAATACGGAAAGATATGAATATAAATTTTGTATTGTGCGGGAATCAAATAAGCGAGCATCGGAAGTTAAGGCGACATAATAAACCGTTACACTATCACGGTTGTTCTATACGTGAACAAAACGCTTTTTATATGACTAAAAAAATAAGTATGTGACTTACAAACATATAGAGCGGTAACCAATAAATATACAAGGAAATTGTCTAGGAAAAATGTCGTCACCTTCATCTACAAGTTGGCAGTTGCTCTTTGTACACACGTGACGTCATCAACAGCAAGTTAGTTTCGTCGCACCACTCCCCCTGTTCTTTGAGCCGGGCCGACGTTTCTATCCAACTGATATTAAATTGTCAGGGATCCAGCGACCGTTGTCACTCGCGTCCGACGCCTCAAAAAGGGATTTAATTTGGCCGAGAAGTTTTGCGAAACAATTAATTATCTATTCGGTACCCTCTTTTGACACCTGTAAGAAACAGCGGAGGCTGAATACGGGAATTTAATATTTGTGGAAAATATATTTTATATACTCCTTATACAGTAATGTAAAGTGTGATTCGAAAGTTTATGAAACGAATAAGTATCTCTAATAAATTTGATCGAAGGGTTGATATAATAGAAATGATACTTAAAGTAAGTATATTGTAATCACTTAGCTTGTTTGGAAGATCATTATCGTTTATCATATCACCCATTATTTGTCGAGTGCTAAACATAGGCCTCCCCCTTAAACTGCCATAAAGAACTCTTCTGAGACACGTGCATCTATTAATTTCTGCAATGCATTTGTACTCGTCCCTCCAGAAAGTTTAGGAGATCGCTTCGCTTAAATTTTATTTATGTATGTATGTGTGTATCTATCAGAATTTACAAAAATATCCCATTATATACTAATGGGATATTATCGTAAATTCTTATATAATTTTGTAATTGAGAGTATTTATTTTATTTTTTTTTATTTTATTTCATACAAAAATCCACAGCTCTTAAAAAATAACTTACATGCTAAGTCTCTTATGAATACAGCCAATAACGGATTTTACTTATACAAACAAAAATTTTGATTCCATAGCGAGGTAGGCAAGTTAGAGTGGGTGTATGCAAGTAATATAAGCACATGTATGAAAGGAACCCATATATAATAGTGAGTGTCCATAAAGTTAAGTTAATTGATATATAAAATAATTAAATAAAATTCTTACAGTAGTTTCATATTAATATTGATGGTTTTTTTGCAAAATTTTCTTATTTGTATTTTGAATATGGAATTTTTAATTTATTTCTTTTATATATATGTAAGGTACTTTAGATAAGTTTATATGAAACTAATATGTATTAATATCGATTCATTATTGAAATTAAACATGTGCAAAATTTATTCAACAAAACGGCTACGTTTTTACGGCGATACGAAAGTCATAACTTTTACAATATAAATACATATTTGTATATCTAAACCTATCTGTCTCTCATCATTTTCATCGTCATTGAGTTAGGAGGTCGCACCTGTACAAAATATCGCCAGGGGGCGAGAGCTCGCGTCGCTAAGCGTCGGCTGGTTGCCGTCGCGACACCCCAACTTGTGTAGTCTCACTTAATAAACACGATACTAAATGGTGATAAATCTGAATAGCCACGGTATTTTATTGTTGGCTAAATAATACAATTTTGTAACAGTCAAAATTCAAGATACTATAACTTTTTAGCGTTGTGAAAATCTTCACAAGTGACTTATCTTTTCCTAGAGATGAATTAGACAAAGGAATTACCGGAAAGAAATTACTCACTGGAAAGTTAATAACTCTATGATTTTCATATACTGCCATTTGAAATTTTGCTAGAATAATAGGTCTTTTCCTGTTCCAAAAACGTTATTATTTTAGCTTAACCTAACTATAATTACATAATACAAAATGTTTCTTATACATTGACTTTTGTTATATAGTGATCAAGTGGTTGAACGTATTATAATGCAATTTTGCATACTGATAAACCATATGTAAGATTAACACAAGGTATTTTTTATCGTAATGTAAGGTGAGAAAGTTGTAGGATTTAGTTATTATGAAATAAAACTAGACACTAATTATTAAAATTGACTTTTTGAAGTAACATGAAAAATATAGATGAATAAAAATGTATCCAAATAACTTATATAGTGACTTATTATTAAACTTTTTCAGAGAAAAGGGATTTTCCATTGTTGTCGATGGATAGTGTACATGATCTTAGTCTGTGGGTACAATTAACACTCATGATGACTCCGCCTCATTAAAATAGGAATCATTAAAAAAGATCAAGCTATTGATTTTATAATTTTACCTTCTTCTTTGTGGATAAACTGATATTATTTTCCAATTATACATGGTTGCATTTTATATTTTAATATAAATAGGTGTATATGTTAGTTTGTCACCTTTGTTGTCTCCACGTTAGTGTAGTGAGGCGAACTGTGAGGCGTGAGGCGTGAGACACGAGCGTGAGCCATCGTTACGCAAGTGCCGTCGCAAACCTCGTTAAAGCGGGTGTCAAAGGGCTGTAACTCAATTACACACTCTTGTTGCGACCCGAGACACATGCGACAGTCGTGCCAAGACACCGGAATTAATGCATGCTAATTTACTTTACTCTCTAAGCTGGACTTATAATGAGAAGCAATTTGATTGAATATCTCAACGTCGCACATTGTTGTGCATTTTGGATTCCGTAAGGTAAAAATAAGCCTTGAAGGCGAGATTTTGTCTGTCTGTCCATTTTTTCGTTTATTTCTTAGAGTGCTATCTTTTTGCAACAATTAATGCTACAGATTTGAAATTTATAAAGACGGTACTAATTGTGAACTGCTAGATAAGTAGGCCATTATATTAATATTTTTATATATTTATTATTCTAAATTAATAATATAAGACTTATTACTTATATAAATATTATATTAATAATGATATATAAAACAAAAGAGTGTTAAAAACATATCTAAAATAGACAAATTTAAAATAAAAAAGGGGAAATTTAAATAAAAATAGAGGTCTGTCGCCAATAGACGGTTTAACAATATCTAAAACTGTTTAAAATGTTAGCCATATAACAAATCTTATTGCAACTTATTATATCTCATTACAGAAGAAGCAATTAAAAAAAATATTTACTTTTTTTCTGAGAATGCCCATTGATTCAAGACAATATTTTACATTCGGTTGAGTGTGTCTGTCCTTTAAGAGTGGCAGTTATTTAGAACATATTATTTTATATCAATACATATAATAAAATCGGAACTAGTTACTGTCTGTACATGGAATATGTATAAAAAAAGCTATTATGACCGCAATAGAACCAAAAACAATGAATTTTATAATTTTTGTCTCTTTGTCTGTACATTTGTGCACGCTAATCTCAGAAGCGGCTTAACCGATTTCAATGCATTTTTCACTAATGCGTTGCGGTTTGCTCCACTTAATATCTAGTGTTTGTTTTATTTTTAATCGGTTTATGAATAAAAAAAGTTATATCAATCTAAAAATCACATACAAAATATAAAACGATGGGTGGATGGATATTTCTCTTCCACTGTCAAAAATTACTTAGAAGTTATTTAGTACACTGGTAGATTATATCCTAACTTAGCACATAGGATACTTTATGTATTTACTCACGCAAGTAAAATCGCGGGATACAACTAATTTAGAATAAAGTACAATGGGATTTACATTAACATGTCACCTATAAAAATTTCTTTATAAGTAAAGAGAAAAAGTTTTATAACGTATAGCTTGCCCAACTTGTTTCAGAAACGAGTCACTGTTATTCATAATTCGAAATATACACGTACCTTTCGTAAAGTTATTTTCATTAAAGGATGATACGCCTTACGAGTATAATCGGTTGAGCCTAGCGTAAGGCTTCTTTCGACTTGGATTGCTTTT